CACGTGTTTCCGGAGCTACTTTTCCCGTCTCACAGTATACGAGATACCAAGTGAAATAACAGTAACCAAGGATGTCATTTACGCTTTAGTTAAATATGTAATGTTTAATTAAATATCGGATGCAATAAGTTACCTGTAAATAAATAAAAAGTACATTATAAATAAAGGCCGTAAAGGCCCTAGAGGAAGAATAATCCTCTCTTCGCATAATAAATAATAACTCCTCCCATTAATAAACTATTACTTGACCCCTTACATATAATAAATCCCCAATAAATACACACGCTAAATTACTCTAACCCAAGTTTATTGCTAAGTGGCATAAGCGATAAACCTTGTCTTTCGGTAAACCCTTGCTCACGTGACTCCCGTTAAATTGATACCCTGTCCAGTTGTTAACCTGACGTATTAGGTACAACTGTGGTTACTAAGTCCAGCTTACCCGAAGTAGTGTGGTATAGCTGAGGTAAAAGAAAGAATAGATATTACTCGGATAACAGAGAAACCTACCTACGGAACCCAAACCACCGACCAAATCTAAACGCCTCTTTTCGACTAAGCCAGCCATAGGTTACGCAAGGAATTGTTGAGCGACTGACTCGCCGCTGTACCCGGTTCTCAATATATTAAAATTTTGATTATTTATAGTTAAGGTTAATAGAATAGAGTATGAAGTGAGTATTACTGTAGTTAAAAGTTGTATTTATTTTTTCAATTTATGCCCATTTACAAACAAAATAAGCAATAGAAGAAACTTAAAAAAAATTGGTAAGTTCTTAATACTGACTATAATTAATAATACAGTATAATCTCATATCTTAACATTTAATTAATAACGTCTTTTCTTTTTTCAAATATAACACCATCTTTTAAATGCACAACACGAGTACCATTATACACCTTAGGTAAAGCTTTCTCAGATTCAGTTCTAATATTATATTTTAACAAAATCTGGTGTAAAATCAATTTAATCTGATTAACAGCTAAATATCTACCGGGACAAGAATTTTTTCCACCTTCAAAGTTCAAAAAATTACGTTCAATTTTTGTAGCTTGAGTATTACGTTCCAAATGTCGGTATGCATAGAATTCTTTGGGATTACGACCTTGAAGATCTTCATCATTAATTGTGTCCACCAAATTTAAAATAACTATGCGACCTATAATTTTTTTTTTAAAAAAAAAAAAAAAATCAGAAAAAGGCGTGAGTAGGAAAAAACGTATTACGGTTTAGAGATAAAATAATAATAATTTTGAAAAAATTTACCATTTGGGATTTGATACCCATTCTCAAAGGTATAATGAGGTTTAGAAATACATTTATGTGGTAAAGCAACTATATCATTGTATAATCTTAAAGATTCTTTAACAAAACTGTCTAATTTCACCATTTTATCAATATTATCAGATGT